CCTTATCAAAAAAAAAAAAAAAAAAGACTGGTTAACACTGTTCTGACTTACGGCTTATTGTAGAAGGCCCATAAAGGTACAATTTCATGGGGCGAAGCTTCGCTAGCGAAGATCCCCCATTCCGCCGACAACGAAGCCAGTGTTCAACGTTTTGCTAAGGCTGGATCCTCATACAGACACCGGCGCTTTGACACAGAGCACTGATTGGTGAAAAGCTGGTTGTGGGGGTAAAATTTACTCCCACCACCCGTTTTTCACCAATCAGCGTTCGGTGTCAGAGCGCTGTTGTCTGTATGAGGATCCAAGCTAAGCCCGGATCCTCATACGGGCAACAGCGCTTTGACACAAAGCGCTAATTGGTGAAAAGCCGGTTGTGGGAGTAAAATTTACCCCCATTACTCGTTTTTCATGAATCAGCGTTCGGTGTCAAAGCGCTGTTGCCCGTAAAGGTGCCTTTTCATGCCGACACTCGACGCTCATTTTCGGCGTCAAAATAAGTCACGTAATAGAAATTGACGAATATCAAGCATCAATTTTGATTACGTGACCTATTTTTACGCTGGAGTCCCATGAGGTGTATTTACCGCGTATCGCGTAACCGCGTAACCAATCAGAAGCGATCCGCTGTTGTGGTTTCGCATTTTACTGATTATTGATTGGTTACGCGGTTACGCGATACGCGCAAACACGCTTCATGGGACTCCACCCTGAAAATGAATGTTGTAGCGTCAGGTGAAAATCCAGCTTAAGAGGATCCGGGCTAAGTCCTCTTACCTTTTCATGGAGCGAAGTTTCGCTGGCGAAGTTAAGTTAAGACTCCATGTATGCAGTGAGCTCCGACAAATGCTGCGGTGACCTATCAGGAGCCAGGCGCAAGTACGGCCCGTACTTGCGCCTGGCTCCTGATTGGTCACCGCAGCATTTGTCGGAGCTCACCGCATACATGGAGTCTTAGCTTTACTCCCGCTATGCCGTAAATAAAGGAGTGTTGAACAAACAATTCCAAAAATTGACCAATCAAAAAATACTTCGAAATATTTGGCCAATCAAGTGAGCCACAGCCAGAGCTTCAACGTTGCTTCGCTCATAGTTGGACAGTGTTGAACTTTGAGCGAAGCTTCGCTAGCTACGCATTTTCGCACGAATCGGCGGAGTGAGGGGCCTTCACCAGCGAAGCTTCGCTGCATGAAATGGTACCTTAACAAAGATAGAACGAGGCTTGTGTCATCAAATGGAAAGCGCCCAATGCATAAGTCCGAATCTACAATAGGTGTTTTAGCCGCAAGAATTTGACCAACTACATTCGAATACGAGGAGAGTAATTGATTGTGATTCGTTCATTCCTTATGGAAGACTTAAAAATCTATTGTAGATCCGGTATAGTCGGATTAGGATTCCGGCCTAATGCTGGATTCACACTGCATTCGATTTGCGTCGTACGACGCTCTGCAACCAATCAGAAAACAGGATTCCCATGATACGAAGCAAAATTCATCGGAATCCTGTTTTCTGATTGGTTGCAGGACCTTGTACTACGCACATCGGATGCAGTGTGAATCCAACATAATCATCATTCTGTCTTTATCATCCATATCGTTCATTATAAAGCCCGTATCAGACTACCGACTCTGCTAGCCGACCCGACTGCCAACTCTGACTAATAATGGACCAATCACATAGAATCAATCTCATTGTGATTGGTCCATTATTGGTCGGCAGTCAGAGTTGGCAGTCGGGTTGGCTTGCAGAGTCGGTAGTCACGGGCTTAAGACATAAAATAAGAATAGAACTACTGAAAAGCGTTAGTCCGGATCTATAATAGGTGTTTTATGCCTTATGCCGTAAGAAACTGACCAATTACAGTCGAATCCGAGAAGAATAAGCGACTGTGATTCGCCCATTTCTTATGGCTTAATGCTTAAAACCCTATTGTAGATCCGGGGTAAAAGCGTCCAAATCGACTGCAGCCCCTATGATCGCTACGATTTCTATCGTAGACCCCATATTAGAAATAAAATTTGTAAGCCTTAAATATGAATGTTTTTTTTTTTTTTTCGAATATTAAATTAGTGTCAGTACGCGAATGATACGAGTCTCGAATAAGGTTGTATGTGCGTGTGTATGAGGGTCACATGCGTGCGAGAGAGTGAATACTCGCACATGTGCGCGCACCATGCGATTATTGTGCGGGCATTTTGTTACCTGGGTATGTTCTGTGTCTCGAGAAGTGTGGATACTTGTGAAAAAAAGAAGAAAACAAACAAAGAGAGAAGAGACGATTGTCATGCGAAAACGGGGACAACAACGAACGCCGGTCGACCGTGACCGGTTCGGCCGATCATTGACGTTGAAAAACTGTGGCGCGATCTGATTAGCGTGAACATCGACCTAACCTAACCTAATTCACGGAGCGTCAAGGGCGGAAAAAGTTTCTCCAATCGGCGTGAAAAATGTGATTTCTCGCGTCTCGCAACCCGCGGCGAGTCTCGCGTTCACGCGAGGACTGCAGAGGAAGAAATCGGACGAGAAATGGAGAACTATTCCGTACGCATCAATCCGCAGGCCGCCCGTGGAGATGTTGCCGACGAGTCGCCTGCATTTCACGACGCCCAACCGAAACAGCATGCGGATCACGTCAGAAAACGAGAGGACGTGATCGTTCTAACGAGCGACACGAAGGGCGGTCTGTTCAATTCCAGAGCTCTCCTCTTTCTCACCCTGTGGTATGTCTTTAGTGGATGTACATTGTTTCTAAACAAATATATACTGTCCTACATGGAGGGTGATCCCACGATATTGGGTAAGCAAACGATTATTTTCGAGCCTTATCTATTGTCTATAAAAGCAATGTCATTGAATACAGCTATTTCTGTGTAAAAATGCAAAGTTCATAGTGAGTCATCAGAGAATGCCTTCCACTTAACGATACAAGTCAGCACAAATATCATTCTGTCTTTGTTATTAATGGAATATAAAGAAAGATGGAACATTTGTTCAACTTGTGTTACTAAATTAAGATTTAGCAAAATATTTATTTTGAGTGCTTTCCATTTAGTGACAAGTCGACACAAGAGTTATTCTACCTACCACTAGATAGGTTCCGTTCTTTTTAGTTAAACTTCTTGTATAGTTCCTCTCTTTTCTCTTTTTTTCTTCAACGTTAAAAGAAAAAGAGAAAAGCTGAACCATGCAAGAAATTTAGTTAAAAAGAATAAGCCTATAATAAATATCAAAATAGAAATGATTACACCGACTTATTACTAAACGGAAAGTACCTTTTGTATTTGTTGATTTTCTTTTTTAATTGAGGTAGGATTATTCGTCTAAATCTAAATAAGTATAAGCTAGATTTTTACCTAACGCTACGATGCTCATTTTCAGCGTCAAAACAGGTAACGTGATTAAAATTGACGAATATCAAGCGTCAATTTTGATCACATGACCTGTTTTGACGCAGAAAATGAGCGTCGTAGCATCAGGTGAAAACCTAGCCTAATCGAGTCGAAGAAAACTTCCAACAATTACAAAATAAATATTTTGTTGAACGCAACTATCCTAACACAATGAATCATGTCAGCTTTATTTAACATTAGGTAAATAACAATACTGAAATCCACTGTGTCAACTGTGTCTCTTCCTAGAAAATATCCATACTATCTTTTATCAGTATGATATTAGTATTAAAGCATTAATATCAAATATCTGATATGTCAGTCATTAGTGCTTTGCATCATAGCTTTTCTTTTACATTTTATATATATATGTATATAATATATATAATATCTTTTTATAAATACTTATTTTGAATCGCAGGTGCTTGTCAAATGTTGATGACTGCAATTTGTGGATTGATACAAATGTACTTTCCCTGTGGTATGTACAAAGCGAGTCCAAGGTTGATGAGACCTCCAGGATTTTACAAGCACATGACACTCGTAGGCTGCACAAGGTTCGCCACAGTAGTGTTAGGTCTAGTATCATTAAATTATGTAGCTGTAAGTTTCACAGAAACTATAAAAAGTAGCGCACCTCTTTTCACCGTCCTCATCAGCAGGTATTTATTAGGTGAGTATTTTTAAGTGTATCTTTATATCTAATATAATTTATGATAAACAATTCAGCTTTTGATAATTAGTTGAGCGATTGGAACTTTTTATATCGACTGATTATATTTTTAGGGGAACACACAGGATTATATGTAAATCTATCTTTAATACCTGTAATGGGTGGATTGGCATTGTGTTCCATCAATGAAATTAGTTTCGATCTTAGAGGGTTCATCGCCGCTATGGCCACAAATGTAACAGAATGTTTGCAAAATGTTTACTCAAAAATGTTGATCAGCGGTGACAATTTTAAATATACGTAAGTAATTTAATTCGTATGAGAGTGCGTAACATTGTAAAATGGAGAAAAGAATGTTCTATTTTTGTAGGCCAGCGGAATTACAATTTTATACCAGTCTAGCGTCAATTGTGGTACAAATACCGGTATCGATACTGTTAGTCGATTTACCTACTCTGGAGCATTCCTTGAGTTTTAAATTATTCGCGGCATTCCTTCTCAACGGAGTATTCTTCCATTTCCAAAGTATTACCGCTTATGTACTTATGGACTATATCAGTCCCGTGACACACAGGTATGTAATGGTCTTTCGAGCATATAATCAAACTGCATTTTCCTCTTGATTCTAAAGTACATTGTATTGATGTTGTAGTGTTGCTAATACTGCAAAGAGAGCTTTCCTAATATGGCTCTCCGTTCTATTATTTAACAATCCTGTGACGGGATTATCGGCCCTCGGCACTTCCTCAGTTATAGTAGGAGTATTGCTGTACAATCGGGCGCAGGAATACGACAGGATGAATAGAACAAAGAAAATACGATACTCGTCGAAGATCAATTTGCAATAGAACAATTTTCCAGTCTACAAAGATTTCATGTGTATGGGAAGAAAAATATGTGTGTCACTGCACCGAATGTATTGCATTGGAGTTGGGAGTACAAACGATACCCATTTTCTTATACAGCAGTATTCTGTTCAGTGGAAACGCAAAGATAGTACGTATTTATAAGATTAAGACGAAGGACAATCAATAAAAATTGTTTTTTTTTTTTAATTTAATAATTTCTAGTGAATTTTTGTGATATATTAAGAACAATTAGTTTGATCTCGTTTGCAATTTGTAATATAAATCATTAATAACTAAATATCGCTGTGAAATGTAATTTATTTGATTTGTAAACTTGAAAATACTTTTATTTGTACATTTAGAAATGTCTGACAGGTATGGTAAACCAAGAGAAATCGGGACGAGTGAACTATATGTTAAAAAAGTATCTGATTACTGTATTATACAAGTGTTCCTAATGTAAATGTGAGAATTGTGGAATGTATAAAAGAATTTTATAAAAATAAAATTTCTTTGTATCTACTGATATCGCTGGCAATATTCTATGAAGATTTATGACAATGTAAAGGTTTTATATTACCGGTTCGCGTAAAATAACCACGGCAGTGTCGCTGCGCATAGCTTAACGCCGAGACACTACCAGTGTCTCCAGATTTATAAGACAATTAGGACATATTAGAATTACTGCTATTACTTTTGCGGTTATCTGATTACATTTCGTTAATTTATTGATGTTAATTCAAGCCTCTAATGCTTGTTTGAGATCGGCTATAAGGTCTTCTTCGGTTTCAAGGCCAACAGATAATCTAATCAATTGATCAGTTATGCCTAATTTTGCTCGTATATCTTCTGGCACGGACGCGTGCGTCATTACGGATCTAAATGAGAAGAATAGATTAAAAATATGTTTTTTAATACATATTTCTCGAATATACTTACGGTAATTCGGCTAATGATTCGTAACCGCCTAAGGATTCAGCTAAAGTGAAAACCTTCAATGCTTGCAAAAAGCGGTTAGAATCGCCTTTCAGATAGAAAGAAACCATGCCGCTATGCCCTGTTTGTTGTATATGTGCAAGCTCATGTTGCGGATGCGACATCAAAACTGCAATGTAACAACACGTGTATTTTATCTTGTAAACATTTTATCGTCATATTGATTATTCAGATTATTAATTTTATATATGATTCTATTATAGAAATATACAAGGTAAAGGGAACAAAAAATTATACGGTTACGTACATGGATGAATCACTTTCTCGACTTTAGGATGAGAATAGAGAAATATAGCTACAGCTAAACCACTTTTCATATGTCTCTGCATTCTTAGTTCGAGCGTTTTCAAGCTACGATTGACTAACGCACAGTCAAATGGCGATGGAACAATTCCCATGGCTAAATCGAAAAAGAAAATGTTATATAAAATCTTCAAATGTGCATGACTCGAAAAAGCTCTTGTTGATTTACCATTTTGATTGAACTTCAATCTCTCTCCGAGATCGTCCCGGCGCGTTATAGCAGCACCCATAATGACATCCGAATGGCCATTCATATACTTTGTTAATGAATACATCGAAATATCGGCACCAAGGTCAAGAGGTTTCTATTTTACAAACATAATATATTGGTTACAGTTTCTTTCACATTCATCGATCGAATACAATTTTTCTCAAATTTATATCAAACTTACTTGAAAATAACATGTCAAAAATGTATTATCAACGACTAGTATAATGTCTGGACGTGATTTCAAACTCTCAGCAACAGCCTTTATATCTATTAATTTCATCAAAGGATTTGTCGGCGTCTCTAGCCATACCATCTACAATAGAACAAATTATAATACAGAAAATACTAATGTGATATTAAAATACAAAATATTAAATTCTAATACAAAGTATAAATAACTATATTTTTAGTTTTTTTATTTACCTTTGTATTTGGTAGTATGGCATCTGTAACATTTTGTACATCAGTCATGTCAACGAAAGTATATTTTATACCATGTTTGCTACTACATTTTTGAATGTATCGATTGGTACCACCATAAAGATCATCTCCGACAATCATATGATCTCCTGCTTCCAATAAACTTGCAATAGCAGTAAGAGTGCCTAATCCAGAAGAGAAACAAAAAGCATGTTTGCCATTCTCTAAAGCAGCTAGGCACGTCTCCAGAACATTACGCGTAGGATTGCCACTTCTGCCATATACATATTCCTACATATGAAATGAAACAATTAAAGTTAAAATGCTATTATACAAGATTGTTGATTTTTTGCAATAATACTCAAATATATTCAAATTCACTTGGATAACAAACATTAACAATAGCATGCGCAACACTTACAAATACTATTTTTAATCAAAAAGTACTTAAAAATATTTTTAAATTATATTCCAGAGAATAAAGCTTTTACGTATTCTTTCTAAAGGATTCTGTGCAAGTGAAGATAAGATAAACGGATGCAATCGAATTGTTATTTGACCTCCGCGAATTGTTATTTGATTTACGCGAATTGTTATTCGACCTTTGAACCGTAGATTTAAATTGTAGAACTGGAAAATTATTTAATAATTCACACAAAAATATAATTTTGTTAGACACGAAGATGCAGTCTGGACCGTACTTGCTGCTCCTTTATTTGTATTATTCATATAAGTGGTTTAATATATTACTTGTTTTTTGTTTCTCAATTTAATAAAAAAAGGCTAATATTTTTTAAAATTATACTAAATGCTTATAGTATACAGAAATATATATTTGCTTCGAGCACATTTGACTCGCATTTTTCGTGTTAAATAGCCATTTATTTAGCTATTAAATTTCCAAGTTATTCCTTTTTCTATCTACTTATCTGTTTCTCATCTGTTTTATTTATCCGTTTCTTATCTGTTTCATTTACCTGTTTTTCACCTGCTTCGTTTATCTATTTATCTGTTTCTTATTTGTTTTATTTTCGTGTTACTTATTTGTTTCAACTTTTCGACAGAAAATAATATAAATTGATTTATAAAAAAAATATTCTATTTTCACACACATAGCTTGTATGTAACTTTAACTTTATTAATAGCTACAGAAACTTAATGCAATTTTTGCTAGGTACAATTGACATTAATTGATTGAGTAACAAGAAGTAACTACTAGGAGCTATATATGGATAAATCTTGATGAGTCAGACGTTTAGTGCTTACTCTGGGCGGCGCTGGACTATCCTGCTTAAAAGTAGTCGACATCACCATAGGTGGTACAACCGAGTAATGATTCCACTGATCAGGATCTTGCCCGGCATGGATAGCTATCGTCGCGAAACCTTTTTCTTTTGAAGTCATTGTTTATTCAGTAAAAAAATGTTCTGCGAATATTAATTAAAAATATTATTTATTATTAATGTGTTGTAATTAATAGAAATATTATTTGGTAAAACTCCTGTTTAGGGGTATCATTTTGACCTGAACATATTCGGGGATCCTTAAACAGGAGTTTCACCTATATCGTTAAACGATTTTTTTTTATTAATTATATTAATTAGTAACAATAATATAATAATAACGTTTGGGTACGCGTAATTTTAATTTTTTAATTTTTATCGAAGATTTATTGCGTTTCACTTTTTTTGTCACTTTTTATGTCGTTCTAAACGCAAATTAAATTGTTACCGTGCATGTTGTTCAGTCCTTCATCCAACGTGAACGTAAGAAATAGATATTAATTAATTAAAATTAACGTAATTCTAACACAATCTATTTATACTGAACAGCACATACGATAACAATTTGCGACTTAAGAGATAACACATTTACGTGACGTAAAAAGTGAGACGCAATAAATCTTCGATAAAAATTGAAATTGTCAAATGCAAATTAGGAGATAAAATCTTGTCTCGTTATTTATATGTTAAGAAAAGAAAAAAAAATTTTTTTTTAAAGATTGAACGCTCTGAAGTATTCTGAAAAGCTCTGGATAACGTTCGTGGAATTTAAATTTGCGAGGGCATTCTGTTTGAGATTCTTCTCAGCTACACTTTCTGCACTCGTCTAGTTCGGACGTTCCAGGTTCCAGGTCTTATAGCAAAAAAATTTAGCTGATTGAAGGGTCTGTATTCTTGGCAGTGAGTAATTCGAGTGATGAAATAGCCTTATCAGGTGCCGAATTAACGAGAATTTACTTGAGGATCATCAGCGAAATTCACTCACTTTATATCGATACCACTGAATATCTGTTGAAAGTGAAGTTGACTGAAGTAACCTGACCGGCGACGAGCTACTTAAATAGCTTGCAATGTTGTCAGCCGTGTGACCGATAAAGGAGAAAAAGGACAAAGTATTCTGCACTCTGGTGGGGCGTTGGTCTGTTCACATTGTTTGCATTTTTCGCAACATCTTCGCTTTCTTTCTCTTCACCGCTCGAATATATTTATCTCATTTTAACATATTTTAAACATATTTATCTTATTTTAAGTGTAAAATTTTTTAAGCTTTCAAGCTAGAATTTAGAACAGACTGTACTGCCTGATACAGCATCTGGGCTGCAGTCGATTTGGACGCTCACGCGCTTTAAGCGCTTGTAATCATCATTTTGTCTTTATCGTTCATTAGACGTAAAATAAGAATAGAAATACTGAAAAGTGCTGAAAGCGTCTAAATCGACCGCAGCCCTGATGTAACGGTATATCGCATTATTATTTATTAGGCGAATTTTGGCGATGGTATGGTATATGTACCAAGGTTGTTGGTAGAGGCGAAGCTTATTGTGAATAACCTACACCCTAGTTATTCACTAGTTATACCCTAGTTAATCGGTACCCTACTTTATTGCTAGGTACAGCGTAGTATCAACCATGTACCAAAACGGCTAGCCCCACCTCTATCACTAATGACCAAACACACAAAAATGTTCTGGTACAGTTTGATACACTTTGGTTGTTATACCAAAAGCGGGAGGGCTCCGATTGCACACATCGCATATTGCACACATGTATCGCTGATTGGCCAATTTAAAAATAAAATAATCTCATTGGCAAAACAGTAAAAAATTACTAGGCATTAGTTGATATGAGTGGTGTGTACAATCAGAACTGTAGGCAAACGGGATGCTCCCTTTAACTCTTTGCGGCACAGTGTGACATATTAACATATATGTCACACCTTTTTAATCTCAGTTTTTTATATTTTTCACACAGTTTCTTTTATATTACTACAATGAAAAGAACATTATCGGTTTTGTAGAATCAGTTGTTATAAAAAAACCGTGAAAACATTCCTATTGTTGACGAAATGTGTTTTATAAATAAACAAACTGAAAAAATTCATCCCTTTTTAACAATAAATGTGATTGTGACTAATCAACAATAGTTAATTAGCCAAAAAATAATGTACGGGAGGTTTTTTGGGTCGCTGATTACGAATCTGAGCTTGAATTTTCAAAATTAAAAATGACGGATCCAAGATGGCGGACAAAAAATTAAAAAATTAGTTCTGGGACTGTAAAATGGGG